CTATTCTTTAGTCATTATCAAGTGCGATTTTTTAGAAAAATATGTAGGTTTCTTAAGCATGTGTCCAGAGTTTTAGGAATGTTTTATTTTCTGAGCACGGTCTGCACATTGTGGCCGTGTTCGTAGTTAATGCTATGAGGGTTGGCTTTTCCTTTTTATTATTAGGAATTCCGTTATTTTTAATATTTTTTTACATGTTGGTGATTATATTTGTATTTTCTACTCGGGTGGAGTCTGGTAGGTTTTTTGTGCGTGTTTAAATGAGTCCTAATGCTGCTGTGGCTGTATAGGTGTAACGTAAGTCGTCTAGATAGGCATGTAGTAGTGTGACCAATGTAATTATTTATGAGTTTGGTTTGATTAGGAATATTACTTTAAAGAGCATTTGAACTCGTAAATCATGTTGGTTCTTTATAGTTTTGATTTTGTGGGTGTGTTGTTATTTTTATGGTAAGGTTAGTTGTTTTAAATTTTTGTAATAGATAATTGATTTAATTTACTTGTTCGAATCGCTTGCGTTTGTATATTTCTTTATGGTATTTCTAAGAGAAAATTCGTCTTGCTTATAGTTGGCTTTTGTAAATGATGTTAATATCATTATTTTTATCTGCATCTTCAGTATCGTCATTAGTTACTTTAGAAATAAATAGTCCCATCTGGCGGTCGATGAGGTAGTTAGGAAAACCATTGTTAACTAGTATCTGTTTTACATTATTGAGTTCTTTAAGGAAAAGTGGAAGAGGGAGTGAATTCTCGTGTACTTTTTTTTAGAAAATTTTTTATAACCGCTATTTTATATCTAAATTAGCATTCACTCTTAAAATTAAAATGGCAAGTGTTTCTGCTTGTTGGTGTTTTATATAATGAAGAGGTGAAAGTGTTATTAATGAATTGTACGAGAAATTCTAAGAATGGGAGTTTTCTTTTTTACTAAGTTCATCGGTAAAGTTAAGGACAAAGTTTTTTTGAATGTGGTTTTGAGATTATCAATTTCTTGTTTGTTTTTCGCTAAAATAAAAATATCGTCTACATAGCAGACTTATATGTTGGTTTTAGTGACTTGTTTAAATATCGGAGTTTCTAGGTGGGACATGTAGTAGTTGGAGAAGCACGGGCCGAGAGGATTTCCCATACTAACACCATTAGTTTGGTGTAGAGTGATTTTATTTGTGCAGGCATGCAATGATTTTTGAAGATATTTGGTTTGATGGTTGGAGGGGAATGGAATAATTTTTATGCACGGAGTTAAGGATTATGTCAATAGTTTGACAGCGACGTTTATAAATAGATTTTCAACGTCGAGTGACGCTAAAATACCTTACATTGGTTTCTTAGTTTTTAGAATTTGAAGGAATTCGTTGATTGATGCGTTGCTGTAATTGGTACGTGGGTATGGAGTAATGATATTGTTAAGGAATTTTGACAGCTCTTAGATAGTGGTTGGAATCTGGGAAATGATGGGTTGTAGTGAGTATCCAGTTTTATGTATTTTTATATTTCCGTATAGATTATCGGATTGATAGTCACTAATATTTAGTAAAAAATAAAACAATAAAAATCGCTCTTGATAATGACTAAAAGAATAGCCGAAAGCGTTCGGATATTAGCACTTGTAGGAACACAAGAAAAAATAAATAAAAAGCTTAATCGGAGTACATTTTCAGTTGTATTTAACGAAACATGTATAAAAGAGGGATTGCTACCTATATATATATGTGTGTGTGTTTATAAAGTGGAAATTAGTAGAAATAATTCAATCACCAATAACGAGAACAGTAAAGGTATATAGGTAATTTCTAAAAAGCGCTACTATAATCATATAAATAGCTGGAAGAATGAGAAGTGTAGATATAACACTAACGTATCTAAATACGTTTGGAATATTAAATAAGAAGATAAAACGGATCGCATTCTAAAATGGGAAATACTAGAAAAAAATAGTTTTAAATATAAAACCAGCAACAAGTACTGCATATTATGTATGGAGGAGAAGTTAGCAATAGCTACATTTAACAAACCAAAAATTTTATTAAACCAGAGGTCAGAAATTCTTAATAGGTGCAGGAATAGAAAAGAAAGCCTGGTTTCTTCGAATAAAGGTTGTAGTTGTTTTGTTTTTTGTTATTTTTGTTTATTTTTTGTTTATTCTTTTGTTTATTTTTTTTGTTTTGTTTTTATTCACGTGTTTTATATCTTTTTATTCTTTTTAATATATGCTAATTTTAGGTTTTAGCAGTAATTTCATCAATAAATATGTTCCTCGTTAATTCCTCCTTATACAGTTCACCCTGAGAGGTAGTACCTGATTCAGTAGGATTTATTATATATACAGAGTGTCCCAAAATAATGTATACACTTTGAATCGTTATAACTTATTCAATTTATCTATTTTGACTTGTAAATAAGATTAATACAAGAATACACATTTAAAGAATTTGAGAGTAAAATATACAAAAAACATAGAAAATTAACTTTAATAGAATAAAAGTTACTTGGGGAAATGGTAGAATGTTCATATAATGATGAGTTCACATCAAGTGCTCAAACTGGTTGTTCAATACACTTTTCATATCTTGAAGACCTATAAATGTCTAATATCATTTCCACTGGTATTTGAGCACATTCTTCTTCAATCCTCGTTTCAGGAATTGTTTCAAATTTCCTGCTGTAAACTTTGTCTTTTAGAACCCCCCCCCCACAAAAAGAAATCCAAGGGTGTCAAATCTGGTGATCTAGGGGGGTATTCAACTGTCCCTCTTCTTCCAATCCATCTGTTTTGCATATTTCCATCCATATAAGTTCTCACATCACGCTAATGTATTATTAACTATTAATATTTAAAGAATGTATACATAATTTGGGGACACCCTATATATATATATATATATATATATATATATATATATGTACACACACACACACATACATATATATATATATATATATATATATACATATATATATTAAAGACATTTTTTATGTTTAACGTTGTTATTTATAGATACAAGTATTTAAGCAAATGCTCTGTTTATGATAAACAGTATTAAATAACATTTACCGGCCTGAATGTCCGAGAAATTTTCATAGAAAATATTCGTTCTTTATAAGCAGTAAATTCGACCTTGTCTACTTTGTGGCCCAGAGGTTAGGCACGTCAGTGTAAATGACGGTTCCGTATAGGATGCAGGTTCGAATCCTGTCAAAGAACGAATATTTTCTATGAAAATTTCTCGACATTCAGGTTGGTAATGTTATTTAATACTGTTTATCATAAACAGTATTAAATAAAACAGAGCATTTGCTTAAATACTTGTATCTATAAATAACAACGTTAAACATAAAAATGTCTTTAATAAATAAATTGTCGGACCTTGTCCATTTCTTAATATATATATATATATTTACACATATATATATATATATATATATATATATATATATATATATATATATATATATATATATATATATATATATATACTATGATAAGATTAAGCATAAATAGAAAAATAAAAACTACAAAAATAAAATTAGCGGCTCGGATTGAGGAATCGGAGAGCCGAGTTCGAATTCCAGCCGAATCCATTACCTTCACTTATGATACCCTTGTGGTCTCAACTCCAGTCACTTTCTCACCGACGTAATATGGCTTCCCTCTGTCTTTTCTATCAATATTTTCATGACATCTGCTCTGACGAGCTATTTTCTCTGATGCACCGACCGAATACATGAATTTAAGCATGCTACAAGGTTGGCATCTCAGTTCCACCCTTTTACTTTTACTTTTAAACAATTAAATGTAACCGCCTCTTCTACTCTAAGCGCTTCTTCTGTCGCACTTCCCGACAGTGGAACTCCCTTCCTCTTACTTGCTTCCCTGATAGCTATAATCTTCAGAAATTTAAATGTAATGTCAATCGACATCTTCTGTTACTTTGATCCCCATTCTTCTTATTTTACTCTGTTCTTCTTTATATCCTTTCCTCAAACCTCCCCCCCTATACCCAGTCTTTTCCCCTACACTCTTTCTAGCCCCTTGCGTACTAGTGACACTCCCGCCTTGCTTGGGGTGAATTGCTTAATAAAAATTATTTCTCCAGATGCAACCCATAGCTGAGGGTTTTTTAATATTTATAACTAATAGCTGGGGTGGGGAGGAGAGGGAATCATACCTTTCCCCAGGGTATTTCCGCAAAAGTGAATGTAACGAACCCGACTTGAATTCGAACTTGGCTCACCGATTCGGAGCCGTTATTCATTACACCAGTCGCACATCCCTGTAATTGTTGGGAAGAAACGGATAAACAGAAGTACTCTTTGCTTATTTCATACTCAAAAAAATTGTTAATGGAGTTTTCACTCTCAAGAAAATAATTATTCTTAAAATCTAAAATATGTTTCGGTTTTAAATAATCAACAAAGGCTTGATAAACCGTAAAAAAAGAAATTAATAAAACGCGGCAATTATGAAACAACGTTAAGCGCATTGCATTTAAATGAACGCCACGTAAACAGATATTAGAAAAAGGGTACTGTATATACTCGCGTATCATGCGACTTTTGAAAACCTAATTTTGAAGCTAATTTTAAGGGGGTCATATCATACATGAGATATAAAATTAGCGTATGTACTGTTGGCCCTGGCTATGCCGTTGATCAAACTAAGTATCCATTTACTGTAGTCAAATTAGCTTCGCATGATACGCGAATATATACGGTAATTATTTTAAATAATGGGCGAATAATTACATTATTCCAATCTGTATTTTCTACTTGTTTTGAATAATTTTAATTCGGGAAGATAAAAAGAAAATCTATCACTCATTTACTCAACCGAAGAGCAAAAAGGATTGGCTTAATTGCTACTCGTAGATCTAAATACTTTTGGACTTCCCAATAATAGTAAGTATACATATATCAAGTTAAAACTGATCTTATATAATTATGGGCCGAGGAAAATCTATGTGAATCTTTTGTTTAGACTTGACATTGGAACATTTATGGTAACTTACTTCTTTTTTCGTATCTTGTGTCTTTTACATGCTGATATTTTTTTTATTTAGTTCCGTGACTCCAATAAAGATTTTGTTCGTGTTTATTTTCGTAACGCCCTTTCTTTGAGACACAGAGGATCAATAGAGTCAACGGAGTTCTGGTCTTTCGTTGGGAATTCTAAATTTAGAAAGTAATCATATCTGCTTTTTCTGATCTATTTCAATCTCCTCTCTCCCTATCCGCTACCTCTCTCTTCTATATCACTATTTCTCTCTCCTTCCCCAATTCTATCTCCTTTTTCTCTCCCTCACCTATTCTCTCTCCATCCCCTCCTTCGTACACTGCTCTATCTCCTCTCTCTCTATCCTCCACCTCTCTCTTCTATATCACTATTCTCTCTTGCTCCCCTATTCTCTCTGTCTCCTATTCTCTTTCCTTTCTCTCTCCATCCCCTATTCTCCCTCCTTTCTCTCTCCCTCTCCTTTCTTTCTCTACCCCCTCCTTCGTACTCTGCTCTATCTCCTCTCACCCTATCCTCAACCTCTCTCTTTCTACATTATTTCTCTCTCCTGCCACCATTTTCTCTCCTTTTTTCTCTCAATCTCCTATTCTCTTTCCATCCCCTGCTTCGTTCTCTATCTCCTCTCTCTCTATCCTCCACCTATATCCCTATTTCTCTCTCCCTACCCTATTCTCTCTCCTTTCTCTTTCCTTTCCTTTCTCTCTCCATCCCCGCCTTCGTACTCTCCTTTATCTCCTCTCTCCCTATCTTCCACTTCTCTCTTCTATATTATTATTAATCTCTTGCCACTATTCCCTCCATCCCCTATTCTCTATCCTGTCTCTATTCGTCCCCTCCATCGTACCCTTCTCTCTTTCTCTCTCTCTCTCTCTCTCTCTCTCTCTCTCTCTTTCTCTATCTATCTATCTATCTATCTATCTTGCATCTCTCTCTTCTATGTCACTATTACTCTCCCTCTTCTCTTTTCTATCCTTTCTCTTCCCACCCACTCTAGCTCCTCTCTGCCCCCTCTCTCTCTCTCTCTCTCTCTCTCTCTCTCTCTCTACTTACCCTGGTCTATCTCCTCGCTCGCTTCTATATCACTATTTCTTCCTCTCTTCCCTATTCTCTCCTTTCTCTTTCCCATCCCTACTCAAGTTTCTTTCTCCCTACATTCCCTGCTCCATCTCCCGTCTCTCTATATCTATCTATCTATCTATCTATCTATCTATCTATCTATCTATCTATCTATCTATCTCTCTATATATATATACATATATATATATATATATATGTGTGTGTCTGTGTGTGTGTGTGTGTGTGTGTGTGAAATATTATAGCTTTAAGGTATGCTATATTTATGGGTTAAAGTGCTCAGTATCAGGTACATGGCCTGAAAATTACGTTTAAGCATGAAACAGAATTTGGCCGTTAGGCGTTTTGATCTTAATGCCCATTTTATATGTATATATAGTACCACACAAAAGTTTACAACATATTACAAATATGTTTTTTAGGTGTTTCTAATAGAGTTACATTAATTAAACGTTTACTGATCTTTGAATCTATATTTAGGTATTCAGTCAAACAATCAGATATTTTATAAAAAAAAAAAATTCAAAAAATTATCCCACGAAGAAAAACCGATATTTAGTAACTCAAAAGTTTACAACACATTTTTTATTTACAACAGCTTTTTTTTTCCATAAAATTGTCCAAATTTCACCAGAATTTTCCAACTTAGGATTTTGTTTTTCAGATTAATTTTATGATAACATTTAGGAATGATTAAAAGTATTACCTTATTCTTTTTCTGTCAACCCTCCTTTAAATATTGACTAAACTAAAATTGATCAAGACCTCCGTAACTGTATTATTTACCTTCATACAAATGGACTTGGTTATAGGAAGATATTTAGTCAGTTAAACGTGCCACTGAGTTCAATTGGTACAATAGTTCGTCACTGAAAGACGCTTCATTCAATTAAAAAAAAAAGCTCTGGTCGTCCTAGAAAGTTAACAGAACCGTACGTCAAGATTATTGGCGAGAAAGTTGGCAACGAGGTCCGAGTTACGATTAAAGACCTTCAGGGAGAACTAGAAGTAAAAGTGAGTACGGATACAATTTGTCGTTCACTTCGTCAATATGACCTCTTTTCGAGGACTCCAAGAAAAAAAAAACACTTCTTAAGCGAAAACACGTTCTTGGTAGACTGGATTTTGCAAACGAGCATTGTATCAAACCTGCAATATTTTGAGAAAACGAAACGAAAATTGGAGTTTTGGCAGAAATGCTATGGCAAAGATTTTGAGAAAGAAAGGTGCTGAATCTTCGCCGGAAAATACTATCCCAACAGTAAAAATTCGAGGCGGATCAATCATGAGCTGGATTTGTTTTAGTTCCCTAGATGTAGGGAACATTGAAATAAGAGAGGATGAATGAAGCATTATATAGGGATATTTTGGGTATAAATTTACGTCAGACTGCACATTGGTTGAACTTGAAACCGGGTTGGATCTTCCAAAGAGACAACGATCCTCAACATACTGCAAAGCTTTAGATTCAAATAGAATAGACGTTCTAAAATGGCAAAGTCATTCTCCATATCTCAATCTGATTATTGGCACCTCGGCGTGGTGTAATGGTTAGAAAGCTTGACTTGCTAGATCAATTACGACTGAGTAGTGAGTTCGATCCTCACTGGGTGCCCCCATACTTTCGGCCTTGTGCCACATCTAAGCCGGGCTTAGAAAATCACTATCTCAATCCGATTGAAAATGTATGGAGAGAACTGAAAGTGAGAATTCAAAAAAAGAACCCCCAAAACCTGCTTGAAATTTTATCGTGAAGAATGGAAACATATTAGCCAAGATGCATGCAAAGAAATTCATAGGGGACTACGCTAAACGCCTAAATGCTGCAATTAGCAATAAAGGTTACACTAGGAAATATTAAGAGATGATTTAATAAATGTATTGTAAACTTTTGCGTTATTAAATATTTTTTGTGGGATATTTTTATGGATTAGTTTTTAAAATCTAATTGTTTGACTGAAGGCTTAAGCATATGTATTATTAGCAGTAAAAGTTTCATTAAATTGTGTCAGAAATACCTAAAGAAGCATTTTTTGTAATATGATGTAAACTTTTGCGTGGCACAGGGTTATGACTTTTTTGTAACTCAAGCTTTCTGTGACATAAATCAATGAAATTTTGTTCAAAAGTAGTGAAAATGGCATTAATTTCTTCAAGTTCTTAAAAACGGTCGCTCTCAAACTGAAAATTCGATTTTACTATATACACAATAAGGTTATAAAAATTAAAATATTTCAAAAGCTTTATTTTTCAATTTACGAATGATATAATTGTATAGGACTTATATAGTTTTTAACACAATTTAACAGCTGTAGCATTAAATACAAACTTGCAAATAAACCAAAATTATAAATTTAGCAATTTCCTTTCTATGTTCTTTGATTCTTTTGATGGACATTCCAAGGATGAGATAGCAACTAACAATTTAGATTTTGAGTGGTATCCTGATTTTGTTTTCCAATGATTGATCCTCTAGTTGAACAGTTCTTCTGATGTGATTCTTCGTCCAGATCTTCTTGTTTCTTTCAATGGTAGAAGCACTTTTTTATGAGACATTATGGTTAAAAATGAATTCTTGGAGATCTTTCAGAAAATTAATCGGCGTTGTTCAACACATATTTCCTCTTGCCTTATCTAAATGACAACCCAACCAGTGCTCACGCTTATATAGTCCCACAAAATGACGTCATAGATTTCCAGAAAGTTCTAGAAGGATCAGAATTTCTAAAAGGGTCAGAACAGTTCTAGAAGATTCCATAAAGATATCGAAGACCACAGGAATTTAAAAGAGATATTGCGTATGATTACGTTGGTTGTTTTAGATTTAGTATAATATATAATGAGTTTTATTTTTTTTTACTGGGATCAGTGGGGATTATATTAGTACAGAATGCATTTGATTACGGTTTTGTAGGTTGATATGTTTAGGCTTATTTGAGGAAGTATTGTTCTTTTTGATTTATGTTAATAATTCTAATGGCTCGTCTGCTTTGTTCATAAACAATGTAATTAGGAAAGACATTATCAATGACAATTTTTTTAATAGTTTTTAATTTAAACTTTTTTTCTTAGAGGAGTTAACTCTTTCACGGTGTATGAAATTCGTAAATACGCAATAACTCTTCTCCGTCAATTAGTGTTTTGGAAAAAAGAAACAACATCGTATATCAGTTTAAATGTCATTTGGGAGATTGCATCGCTAACAAAAAAGTAATTACATATGTTGCTATACGACCACAACATTATCAAGACGTCTTTCACTTCATTTGTCGGATAACAGTTTTATCGTACAATATCTAAAAAGACATTTCTGTTCACATTCACAATGCAAACAACACCAATATAATGCACCACAAAAATAATAAAGAAAAGATTTAAATTCTTGAGGTCCTCTATATCAGAAGCAACAAACCGACACTGATCAAAATTTATTACGAGTGTAGCAACAATATTTTGAAATGCATCTGACAAATATTTAATGCTTGTTTGTATTTCTACCATCTCTGGTTAGCTTCCTTTTATTAGGACGCTTACAAGAACACCATAGCTACAACGGATTAATTTAATTTTTTTAAATAATTATAAAAGAGCAGGTTTACGCGTGGGTTAAAAATCCCCATCAGCACGATCACAGTTAGAATAATTTTGTCTTATAATTCACCCCTGAGGATGTTCTCGGAGGAGATCGAAAGTACTTGAGTAGGAAAAACCTAAGGCACCTTTGATGATGAATTTCATCTTAACATCAAGAAACTGGGCTAGAAAGGATTATTATAAAAAATAGACATATGTCTATATTATTCAATGAAACATGTGTGAATGAAGATATGATGTACATATATAAAAAACTTATCTTAGTCGACGCGTTTCGTCCTCTCAAACGTCGGCTAAAATAAGTTTTACCTTTGTTTTTATTCATATTGTTCTTTTACAGATATACTCTATCCTGAATTTTTTACACACACACAAACACACATCATAGGCTATGGGACAAATATGAAACATTTATATATCAAACAGGTTTCGCTTTTATTATAGCTTCATCAGAGAAGGAAATATGGAGACGAAAAGGGAAATTCTAGTATTTTTAATTTTGTTTGTTTTTCATTAGTTAATTTTTCTTTGTTTTTCATTGGTTATATATATATATATATATATATATATATATATATATATATATATATATATATATATATATGCGCAAAGAAATGAGTAAATCCGTAGCTTGATGGTGAAAAACACGACAGATATTTTACACAGATATTTGCTTCCTTGTCAATGCACTTAATTCAGAGATTGAATATTTTACTGTTAAAAAAATCAAATCAAAATACAACTAATAGGTTTTAGTAGGTACCTCCACTTTTTTCGCGGAAAAAAAACAATATAACATAATGAAAAAAACACAAAGAATTTTGTCATCAAATGATTATGTTATTATTAAGAGGAAAGATCGAAGTACTTTTTGTTATTTTTGAAATTTTTAATCCTTTCTCGCACGTTCGAAATTTTAGTTAAAATTCTTGTTTTGTTTACGTCTGCAGCCGACGTAATGATAACGATTTTTTCCTTTATCCGGTTAAAAACAAATTAATTTGGAAAATCTTGCAAAATTCAAATAATTGTCGGATTTTAATGAAACTTTCAGGACATAATCAGAAATGAATGAAAGTATTTACAAACAATTGTTTAGAAAATCTTGTAAAAATTTATATATATATATATATATATATATATATATATATATATATATATATATATATATATATGTTACCACCACTTACTTAATTTCATGAAATTTCGAGAAATTCAATTTTTAGGGCGGGATTTTTTAATTAGTTAAATGCAGGACTCCTTGGAGAAAGTAAATCATCAATTTTTTTTTTTTTTTTTTGTAAAACAGTAACCCCTCTCACCGAAAATCTACTCTGAATTGTAAAATAAAAAATGCAATAAAACTATGACATTATTTAATTAGAAAACATTTAAGTGCTTTGCAAGATCAGATTTATTAAAGACACTATTGTCTTAAGAAGAAATTTTTTTTCGATAAATAATTAATTTTTACAAGAATTGTTTTCATTTTTTAAAATTTTAATTAAATAATTTATAATATTAAAAAAATCGTTTGAAATTTTGCATTATTTCATGGCGGCAGTTTGGTGATATTGTTAAGTGAAAACTACATTTACGAATCTAAAATTGAAAAGTTCATAATCGTTTGTACCCAAATATTTTTTTTAAATTTTAGTGTATAGACGTTCCGAATGTCTAACTATGGTAAGCCATCAATGATATTATCCTTTAAAAGGTCTTGTGATTTAGAGTCTTCTGGCGCTCTGCAACTCTTTGAATTTCATTATTTCAGTTCTGTTTCATCATTAACATCTTTGCAAATCATTCCTTCAAAATTTCAAAGTAAGTTTTACTTTTTTTTTAATTACGATTTCACTAAATATTTCATTTTATGTATTTATTTTAGTTTAGGACATACTTCAATTCAATAATATTTTTGTTTCAGTTAATAAACTTAAAAACATAGAAACGAAACCCAAATTTCATGAAGCATCTTGAAACGTAACTAAAAGTCAATAGAATATTAAATAATTACTAAGAATATGTTAATTTGTAAAAATTACTAGGTAGTTAAAAACCAAAAATATGTATCACTTAGATTTCGCAAATTTATATCAATTCTGGTCACCCGTACTAGCTGTCATCACCTCGAAACTTATCGATACGTCAATAAAGATCAAAGAAAAACAGGACCTGTCGTTAAAAAATGATTGTATATTACTTTTTTTATTATTTAAGTAAATAATATTTATTTCAAATCAGATTAATTTAACTTTAAATTTGCTAATTTTTACTCAAATAACGTGAGACAAATATATATTTTATTTTTGAAAGATTTTTAAAACCGATAATTTTGTTTCGTTTATAAATTTATTAAATTTAAGAAAATCGCCGCTTTTAAGAAAACTTTCTAAAATCGGCCAAAACGTTGAGATTCTTATGTATATATTTTCTATTTAAAATAAACTGGAATATTTTACTTACTAGAAATGGTAGATTTAATTAATTAGCTTTCTATTAAACTTAAAATGAAATCTTCAAGAATGTTTTTCATTTTTAAAAATTCATTTTAAACATTAGGCATCGAAAATTCAGTGGAGGTACCTAGGTTTTAGGCTTGAACTTATTGTTCCAGCTTCTGTAATTAAAGCAACAGCCTAGTTTTTAAGAATGCTTTTATTTTACACAATCATTAATTTTTCAACACATTCTCTATTCTTGTCAATGCACGTAATCCAATACTTCTCCATTATTGACATTGATCGGAAATTA